GAAGAGGCGCCGGGGTCTGTTTGTTTTCCCCTGCGGCCACTCACTGCGCTGGCTTAAACAGCGGCACTGAGGTTTGTGGCGCTTTTTTTTTTTTGCCCTGGAATCTACTGTCCTGGTTCTCTGCTCGGCGTATGGGCGACTTCCCGTGGCTCCAATCGCCAGCCAAAAGGGCCCCCGGACCAGTGTATTTTGTACGGAGAACCGCGGCTCCGGGGCGCCAACAAAGCAGCCGCCTGGGGCAAAGCAGCGGTGCCGGCCGGCACAGCCGCGCTGGCCGAAACAGCCGCGCTGGTGACCGTGGTGCACCTCCGCCCGGGAATTTCCTAGTCTGTGGGCAATAAAAACGCTGCGTCCACTCACCCTCTGTGCTTTCACTGGGAGCTGCAATCGTGAGCTGTTCCTAAACGGTCATCTTGGATCGTCTCCACGATTATACATTTCAAAAGATAAAACCATTTGAAAGTACTCTACAGAAAATAAAAAATAGTGAAGTGGTCTGAATAGTTCAACGCCTAATGGTTTAAAGATTTTATGAAGAACTGTATGATACTTGGTATCTTGACAATCAGCACAACTACAAGTCAAATGTCTCTGTAAGCCTATGAATTGGTAACAAAATTAACAGCCAGTCTGAGGTATGTTGGGACCATGTGGGCTGGCTCAGTTAACCAGGGTCACCTGCCTAGTCCTGAGGCCTGGATCTCAGAGCCACGTAGCTTCTGTGACAGGTCACATGCCAGTCAGGAGAAATGAAGGCATGTGCAAAGTCACGCGCAGAGTTAGGAGAGACACAAGCAGGTCAGTTTCCTGTCTTGTTGGCAGCATCCAGAAAATTAAGTGCCTGAACTCATCTGAGCAAAGTTTAATAGTTCAAAGCAGAATTTGAGCTTCAAAAGAACAACATACTGTTGCAAATATACCGTTTTCTGTAAAGAATAAAAGCTATGTAGTTTTAGGAAAACAAGGGAAATCCTGCCTCTTGGTTTCCTGATTCATTCACCGCCTCACCCGTTTACCAAGCACTTACTGAACAGATACTGTGTCCGTGCAGGGCTCAGGCTGTGGAGACAGAGCAGGGACAAATGTCTATACTCGAGACTGGCTCACCTTGTTAGGACGGTAAGTGAGATTTCTAATTGCGCATTATTCATACTTTTAGATGGAAATGACTGGTTATCAGCTACACATAAACAACAGATTTTATTTCCAGCCGAGTCTTTTCCTGTGCAGAGGGCATGCCTGCCTTGCCTCCCTGGCTTGCCTCTGAAGGTCTTTTATGAATTTACGGTGACCTGAGATCTGTGGCTCTCAGCACTTGCTGGCCAGTCACTCGCATTTAAGTCTGCAACCCTCTGCTCCGTTGTTCTACTCTACTGATGAACTGCATTCTCATCCTGACTAGGATGCAGGCTTGTTGAGGACAAGGCTATGTTGTCTGACACCGCAGGTGCCTGAGCCGCCGGGCTGGACTCAGTGTCCGTGGACACCCGCCGACTGGGATAGACTGCGTCGGTTTGTCCAGTCTCTAGCCGCCCTGATCGTCAGACAGCGACGCAAAGTGCTACAGTCTATGCTACCTTGGCAAACTGTTTGGAAGTAACAGAAAGCTTCAAAACAGTTCTTTAGCTTTAATAAGAAAAAATAACTAAATTTTATTAACTTTAGTGGCTCAGTACTTTAGTGCTACTTTCTTTTCAAAGGATTTCAAGTGTAGTAGATTTTTTTTAAAAGATAAAATGCAGGTAAGAAAAGAAGCTCAGAGAAAATGAATGACTGAATTCTTGTCAAAAAAATGTAGGCATGACGTCCTGACTTTAGGATTCTGGAACATTCCAAATTGTTGATCACCTTAACAAAAATGGAAATTTCATACCTTTAATGAGATCCAACTCAATCAGAAGCAAACTGCGTATCCCCTTTGTTTTAAATGGCACCAGTGAGTACCACGGAACCTACTGATTCCACAGCCATGGTTAGGGATAATTACCTGCTCCGTCAGACACCTGTGGCCCTATGAACATCTTGTTACTAGAATGGTCTAGATATCCATAAAGAAAGATACCAGTAGGTACAATCTAAATCCTTGAAAACAGTAGGAACGTGTTATTGCCTGACTCCAGCAGCTGGTCAGGATGGCTGCGGCGTCACAGTCCTGCCCGCAAGTTTATCCCAGCACAGCGACCCAGGAGCATCAGCTGCAGCTACCAGATGCCTCGTGACCTTCGCCCTGCATGGGGCGGGCTGCCTAGGGCTGAGCGCAGCACACTGAGGTTTACACTCGTACATGAAAACCTTGTTTGTTTGTACACCCGTATGTTTGTAAGGCAGCATTCAGGCGAACATTTTGGAGTCTCTGGGAATGAGGACACACAGCTTCCCATGAGCTTCCCAAAGTTTTAGAGCATTGCTCCCCACTCTGCTTCACTTTATCACAATGCTTTCATCAGTTTAAGATGCTAAACCGGTCCCTCTTCTAGCTGTAACAGGTGTGGCCTGGGATGACGTGTCCCGGTGGGCAGGATGGCATCACCATCAAATAATGCTTGGCATTTATATGTTATGTGATATTGGTGAACTAGCTTTATTTGTCCTGATTATAACCGTATTGGAAATTTTATATTTTTTTCGAGAAACTTTAAAGTCTTTATTTCATTAGGAGACCCTTACAATAACATCAAGAAATCAAAATGTTAACATGACTTACCCAGCACCTCTCTGAGTGGGTTAGCTGGACTACAGCCTAGTTTGTCAGTCGGCGGTTAGCTAGGTAAAAGTCTAGTTTATTAGTGGTTAGCTGTATTAGATATGGTTTGTTAGTTACTAGTTAGATAGACAGGAGTCTAGTTTCTTAGTTTGTGATTAGCTAGGTAAGAATCTAGTTGGTTAATTAGTGGGTAGCTAGACTAGAATCTGTTAGTCGTTAGCTTAAATAAAGTCTAGTTTCTTTTTTCTTTTTTTTCTTTTTTTTTTGAGGCGGAGTTTCGCTCTCGTTACCCAGGCTGGAGTGCAATGGCGCGATCTCGGCTCACCACAGCCTCCGCCTCCTGGGTTCAGGCAATTCTCCTGCCTCAGACTCCTGAGTAGCTGGGATTACAGGCACGTGCCACCAGACCCAGCTGATTTTTTGTATTTTTAGTAGAGACGGGGTTTCACCATGTTGACCAGGATGGTCTTGATCTCTTGACCTCGTGATCCACCCGCCTCGGCCTCCCAAAGTGTTGGGATTACAGGCGTGAGCCACCGCGCCTGGCCATAAAGTCTAGTTTCTTTAACACCTAATCTAATTCTTTACCATACAGGTACTGCTTTAAAAATCTGAGTTGATAATTTCAGATGCCTGTCATTTATTGATTGTAAATCTAAATTTAATTAAGGATTAGTGGATTTTGTTCTTAGTGTTGGTTCAAAAAAGCTGGCTTTGTGGGAAATACCAGAGTTGGCACGACTTGTGTCTGAAGAGCTGAGCCTCTCTTCTATCTACCCTGTATCCTTACACGGCCTATGCTATAAAATATGCTGTCGTAAAGAATATGATAAATTCAAAGCCTCCTTTAAGAATATTTTAATCCTAACACAGCACAGTTTTAAGCCAAATAAATGCATCTTTCACAGAGTTTCAGGTGACTGACGTTTTCTGGGTTGGATTTTTTTCTTGTGGCATCACTGAAAAAATAGCCTACGGATCTCAGGGACAAGCGTATTGTCAATCGCTTTTCAGATGTAATTCTGAAGTCCACAACTACTGACAGATTTGGAAATACACGGGAAGCATGCAGCCCAGGACCCCCGGCTTCAGAACGCTACTTCCACGCAGGTGCTGCAAGGCTGCCCGGGGAGCCTTTCGACAGAGATTACCAAGTGACCTCTTCTCTGACATTTGGTGAGCTCACTTCACAGAAGTTCCACCAATGATTAGAGCATCCTTTACAATTCTAATTTCGTGTAAATCAGAGCTTTACTGCAAACATTTCAGAAAATTTTTTTCAGATATGTTTTTCCCCTTTTGAAATTTAACTCAAAGGGAAAATGCCAAAAAAAATCAGGAGACATAAAAAACATCTCGAAGGACAGAGAATTGTTTTTCACAAAATGCTTGGAAATGCCTCTGACTGGCCTATTACGCACTCATGTAAAATGCCAGGCCTGGGTGCCCATGTTGAGGCAGACGCCTGCTGAGGCCCATACCTTGCTGAAGTCCTTGTACAGGCGTGCGTGCCATGGTAAGGCAGATGCCCACTAAGGCCCATCATTTGGTGAGGTCCCTGTACAGGCGTGGGTGCCCGTGGTGAGGCAGACGCCTGCTGAGGCCCGTACCTTGCTGAGGACCTTGTACAGGCGTGCGTGCCATGGTAAGGCAGATGCCCACTAAGGCCCATCATCTGGTGAGTTCCCTGTACAGGTGTGGGTGCCTGTGGTGAGGCAGACGCCTGCTGAGGCCCGTACCTTGGTGAGGTCCTTGTACAGCTCCGGGTAGAGCATTGCCATCTCCGGCTTCACGTCCTGGTCCAGCACTAAGGAGAACACGGGGAACATGGTGTATACAGTCGCATACCTGCAAGACCAAGAGCAGAGTGCATGAACCTGAGACACTTCTACCGCACAGCAATGAACAGACCTGTGGGTTACAGCGCAGCCCCAAAAAAACAAAAATACTCCACGAAATCAAAAAAGCAAGCTGGCAACCAACTGAGATTACTGCAGAGAACTGAGCATTTACCTCATGGCCCAATAACACGTTCTGTACATCCAAATGCTTACGGGTAGAAGAATGATTTTTTTTTTTTTTTTTGAGACGGAGTTTCGCTCTTCCCAGGCTGG